TATTATGATTTATTTAGCTGAACACTAATATTAACATACTTTACTGAAGAGTATTTAAGTAGTATACAACCGTGATAAATAAACTCCTTTTACCTCCACTAATCTCATATGAGACTAATTAAATAAGTAGAAAATAAAACAAAAGTGTTGTTTTGTCTAGTATTCGTTCTGTGAGGATGGACCACGGGTGAACTCAAGGAAGCTGTAGGAGGCTCAGAAGGAGCCGAAGATATTCCATCCAATCACCTTTTGGAAGAATACTCTAGGATTCCTATGTGCAGCTTCCCGATTGAACAATGCTAATAACCCCCTGTATACGGATTGGAGGACTGTAATGATGATTTTGTTCTTACTAAAAACTATAAATACCTGACAATTTTGTACTATAATTAACAATGTCTGGGAATAATATTCCTTCCATTAGTTTTCTGTCTTCTCATAGTGACTTGGGAGGGTTTTGGCGTTCTAGTACTCCCGTTATATGCGGTATATCAAGAACAACCTTCTAGTTATAACAAGTTTTATAAATATTACAAAAATTCTAATCATCAATATTAGAATAGTACTAAATGTACAGTTGTTTGTTTGTTTTTTCTCACAAAAACTATATGCACATTGAATTGATGTATGTGTTTTCACATTACCAAATTCTCTATGTTTACTATATTATCTTTAATATAAACAAAATCAATCAGAACATTTTAATTACAGTTTTATACTTTAATTAAATACAAATTTTTATGTTTATATTAATTAATTAAGGAGATAAGGTTCATTGTAATAAAAATTTAAACAAGAGAATTTATGCATTTATTATAAACATGATATTATTCATAAATTTTAAATAGTTGACATTCCATTTCTAATTTATTAACTAATAAATCTTATTTTATTAATGTGATTTGATAAATGTAATAAAGTAGAGAGAATGTTTAATATAAAAGATACTACTCATAACTTATCTAAGTCTATAGTTATTCATGAAGTATGAGTGGACTGAATAGGGAAAGAGTTTAGAACAAATTTGTTCTAGTCTCTCATTTCCAGTTTTCCACAAATACCATTCATGTCCGATTCTGACTCTCTGGCTGAGGTCCGAGAGATGGTGCAACACAGTGGCTAGAGACGTTATCTGATATGGCTCAAAATAGAAGCCAATGGCGATCCTGCTGTAACCTTCTTTTACTTTCTTCATAAAAAGTGGTTGCTTTTTCCTTAACTGAAAGATTTCTTCTGATTGTACCTTTTCGTTTGCCCCATTATTATTATTACACTTCCTTACACTAATCTGTACATTATTGTTCCTTTTTTTACGCTCCTTACTTTTTTTTCCTTCTCTTCAAATTTTCATTGTTTTCTGTGGCGTATATATATTTGGTGTCCTCTTGTACCAATATTTATGTGTTCAAATAAATAAATACGACTCCGAGTTCCAATGCAAATTGTTTACTGATTTGCATCATTTATCATTCATTTTAACATTCCTAGTTAAGGATTGCCGCATGATACAGTTCAGTGATTTCTGCAATACATGTTTTATCCACTTCCAATGTTTTCTCCTGATTTCATCTTCAGCTGAAAGCTAGTCTATCCTCTACCATAATCAATTATTCCTGATACTATCTCCCAAATGGATCTAGAGTACGTTGAGTAGACAAACGTCTAGTTTTACGCAGAAGATATTTTGTTTGTTACAAAACATTAAATAGTAGCTGGTGATGATTTTAAATCATCCTACTAACACAGCAGACTAAGATTTTCATGGTAAAGTTAAGAGGTTACTTTTGTTTATATTTTTTATTAGTTTAATAAATACATTCAATAAATAAATTTACATACTCTTTGTTATTATAAAATAAAATATTAACTGAAAATAACTAAGAACTCAATGACTTTGTTCGATAATTTCAAGAAAGTCAAACAGAGTCCCAATTTCCATTTCAAAACTTATGAGTGATTTATTCTAAATGCGAAATGTAATAAGATTTCACTTTGCATATGCTTCTTTGTCATAATAGTTGTACACCTAAAATATTTTAAATTATTTATTTTCTAATTGTAAAATATTTGTACGGTTGAAAGTCGATTATTCGTGATAGTGTCTCACAAATGGATCTGGAATTTCTTGAGTAGACAAATGTTTATAAATACATGTACCATTTTGATGATGGTTGTAGTAGTTCTCCAAGTTTCACCTCAGTACAATAAAATTATCTTGACACTTGTATTAAAAATTCCGGCATTTGTGTTGTGTGACAGTTGTTTCGATGTTCACATATTCTTCACTTTCCTTACCAATTCTCCTCTACATAACTGTATCAAATCCACCTTATTTATCAGTGATACTGACAACTTATGTAAGTGCTCACATCTCTTCCACAGCATGACCATCAAGCACAATTCGCTTGGTACTTACTGTACTGTATTTCAGCATCTCACTTCTTCTCTTATGAATGTCCATGCATACTGATATGGAAGTCACTGCTACACTCGCTCTCCTCAAATGCACATGTTTCTGTGTATGTGCTATAAGTGCCGAGTCATTTGCAAAGTGGCAAACATCATGTTACATCCAATCTGTCCAATGTTTTGTGTGCGTCTACTCACATGTCGGAGTCTTCATAATCCATCCGACGATCAGAACAAAGAGAAAAGTTGGCAGTAGACAGTCTTGCCGCACACCGATCTTCACTTTGAATGGATTTGTGAGCTGCATGAATTCTCACTGTAATCAATTGTGAGAATGCAATATCATGGTGACGACACTCTCAGACACTCCACAATGTCGAACGACAGTCCACAAACTCCTACCATCCACCCTAATAAACACTTTCTTATAGTCAACAATGTTCACATAGAGTGATGTGCGTGCTTCAATTGATGGTTATTCAACAATGATCTTCAGTGTCGTGGTTTGATCAGTTGATCAATCCTCACTAAATTTAGCTGGTTGTTCTAGAACTAAGCGTCTTCTGAATCTACCATACGATTCAACAACACTATTGAAAACTTTAACATCTTGACAGTAATGTGGTGTCTCTGTATTTCCCACACTTGCTGAATTCTCCTTCGGTATCCTGATAAAGTATCCTTCTAATGGAGAAGATTTGTAGCTCAGATGGTTAATTTAGGTGGAAACTTGTTCTCTAAACTGGGTGGTTTGGTAGTAGAGCTTTCATTGTCTTTCTAAAAATCACTGGCACAAACTTCACATAGAAGTGAGATGTTGATCAGAAGACCAAAGTATGATCCGTGACAAAATCATCTAGCTTGGCGAACAAAACCCCACCTAAAGTATCTTTTTGTCTAGTCTCTGTTATTGCCGCCAAATCTTTCTAAATAGTGTGTGGACCATTTCCGTATATACGTCTGTGTCCAACTTCAATGCTTCAGCTGGCATGTCGTCTGGTCTTACTGATGCTTTCCTAATATTCATTTCACTTTTGGCTGTTCTGTCTTCGTTACTTGTTGGCAGTGTGATATTTGTAGAAACGTATGTGTGTGCTGTCTCTATGTCCATCATTTTCACCAACGGTGGTCTATTTAACAATTCGTCAAAGTGTTCTACACACCTGTTGTACTCCCATATATCCCACCTCAGTAGTTGGCTTTCCTCATAAATTATCATAAATGGTTATATTGGTCTGCTGGACTTTCCTGAGAGATTATTGTTTGAATCACATTGTTCGTGCACACTTCCTTCATTCAAACTATTTTATGAGACCTGATTTGCTACTTTATCAGTAGCATTACAAAATATCATACAATTTTCCAAACTCAACTGACTTTAGAAACGTGAATTATTGAGTTCCAACTTATTAGTCTGAAGATATCATACTCAGCATAAGGCCTAAAGGCAGTGGGATCAATTTGTGTGACACAATGAGTGTATATTGATATGGGGTTCAAAATTGGGTCGAGAGAAATATCGGCTGACCTCTTGCTTTAAAGTTGTTCTCTAGATTATTTCAGTAGGTGTTAAAGATTAAATTCAGAAGAAACTCATCAGACTGAACTTCATCATTTATGAAATAACCCCTGGCGATTTGCTTGTAATAAACTGAGGTTGTTTGAAGAAAATGAGTTTAGATAATACACTACGATTTTAAGTCAATTTCGTGAAAAATATATCCCTATTCATCGAAATTTACATTTATTACTTGTGAAAAACAAATTTTTTATGGTATACATCATGAATGGATTTTAGTGAGACAAACAGTGAAAACCAGGAAGCACTGGACAGCTCTTTAGTTCCAGCATGTGAGTTCTATGTAGTGTGCATCCAATACCCTACCAGGGATTGAAACCAGAACCTTTAGGCGTCAAGGCGAGCTCTTACCCTTTAGACCATTGAGTTAATATCGAGTGGTTTACACATCTAGCTACAATCGTTTCGCAATATTGCGTGATCATTACCCATCGTCACTGGTAATATTTATCTTAAACTCGACACAGTTTAGCTCACTAGTCACAGCTTCTCACTAGAATTCTGGATTTGAGTATCTAAATAAGTTACTGGCAAGCATATAGTGATTCTTATTATAAGGTGTTGTAAATTCCACATTTTACATGCAACAGCCATCTATTGATTTCTGGTTTACAATGTGCTTGTATAATTAAGGTCAACCTGTGAAGTACAGTGTGAAATTCCATAATCTTCACAAGACTATGATAAAAATATATTTTTGTTTGATACTAATCCTTGAAAATATTTATTCATTTATCCATTAAAATGAACTCTGAATAAAACTAGTACACATATAGATCTATTCTGAAATTTAAGTGTTTAATAATTACAGACATTGTGAACCTCCATTTCTATCATATATATATATACAACGTACTTGAATATATGTTTATGTTTTTCCTCATTTCACTTAATAAGTCAAGGTTATTTGTCATGGTAATATGAATTAAAATCCAACCAAATTCATTCATTTTAAAATTATAAATCGTAATTTCAAAATTGATATAAAATCATTCGAACAATCTAATGTAGTATTTATTTCACTTAAAACTTTCTTTCTATATTAGCTATTACTCTAATTAATAAATGACTGAATTAGTTGGAACATGGAAATATCTTGAAAGTTCCAATGTGGAAGAATTGTCTAGTGAATTAGGTGATTACTTATAAAACAATTTTTATTTTGCAATTTTAAAAAATAATCAGGAACTCCTAATGATGTATATAATATTATCAATAAAATGAAATCAAATATGATCATAGATTTGGATGATAACGAAGTACGTATAAAAATGATAATATGTGATCAAGAACTGGATCAATCATTTGAATTGGGTCAAGAAGTTGAAGAATTAACATTTGATGGACGAATCGTTCGAGTAAGTAAAGTAAAATAATAATAATAATAAACAGATTTTTTTAAAAAAAATTGAATTCAAGGATTGTCATCTTTTTCCTCTGTTATGATTGATTTACAAATATTTTTATTTCATTGAAATGTTAATATTCATTGTGTTTTCTAAATAGTGGTTAATAGTGGGATCTTAGGTATACATTTTGTCCTATTTGAGATTTATCAGCTAGGTGTGTTTGTATCCCAATATCGACTTTTATACTGAGAATTCAACCTTATGCCTGTTTTCGTTAGACATTACCTCATTATCCATTTAACCATCTAGGCATGATGCCTTCTAACTTAGCAAGTATTCTCTCAAGGATTATCCAAACCTTTACGAGTAATGAGTTAGCTAAACATGCATTTAACTACAATATTCTAGTTAATAAATCATGACAGTAAAATTGAAGTTGATTTTGCATAATCCTTCTGTTGGAATAAGATTGATTAATTAAATGGGAAATATATCTATTTTGTAAGTACTGTTGTTTTCGTGAGTTTAAAACACTATCATCTAAACATTGTATTGTCAATAATTGGTCATTCTGTTATTTGTAATCATTTTATATATAGATACCTATTTCATATTAAATGAGGATGAGATCTAAAAACGGTTTATCATCTAATTTACGACTTTTCAATTGAATGTACATAGATCTCCGTAGATATAGATGCAGTTACATTCATCTATGCATCTCAATATAAGATGAAGTATACAGACTTGAGAGGTTATATGATTAGTATAAAGCTGAAGACAACAAAACATCTAAACAATCAATCCATCAAAAACAAATAACACTTGGAATGTACAGCCTTTAATAAATTCAAATTTCTACATTCTTTAATTCCTAAGCTATACTGTATAGAAACAAAATACTGAAAAGTTACATTGATAAATTTTTTATAATTAAATATAATTATTAAAACGAAATGACACTAATTGAATGATAGCTGGAAATCATTAAGACATTGGAAAGTTATTTTAACCTACTTTGAAACTTATGAAAAGTTAATATCTACTACTGAAATTTTTTTCTACAATTAAGTCACAACTAAGCACATCATTATTATTAGTATTAAATTATTTGTGGAGATTTTCAGTACATATGGTTAAGAAACTTTTTATTAGAACAAAATAACTGAACAGTATTTCTGAACTTTCAATGGTTTTCTAACTGAAGTTATTCAATAATTTAAACTACTTTCGAAGTATCGTCCATTGTTAGTTAAAAATTAATGACTATAGAACTTAAGTGAAAGGAATTAAATTAGACTTCAATGATATAAATACACAGACTTTCGATCCTAGTTCAAATCTTGAATAATAAGGCACGAAAATGTAATACATTTAATTCGTTCTCCGTTTTTAATCGATTTATTAAACCTTACTAATTAGTTGGGGGGTTTTTTTCAAGAACGATGTTATTAGTGTCAAACTTTCTTATAAAGCTTTCTTTCCATTAGTCCATAAATTTTATACATAACACTTAAACCCTGTTTAATAAAGATCATCATTAAGGAACCATTATTCGGTAGACAAACGACTCATTTTTTTTACATAAATATAATAAATATGAATGGATCAAGCGAGAAATATGCCTACTATTTAAACAGTCTACTATACTTTATTCTATGAGATTTGATTGTGTTAAATTTACGATTTATATAAATATGTTTGTTGAATATGAATTTTACAAATATCCCTTATCAAATGACTAGTTCTGTTTGAAGTTAATTTTTATCGTTTGCGAACGTCACCAAGATGAACATTTTAAAAAATAAAAAAAATTGATAGACAGTTATTTCTTATTAGTGTTAAACTCGTTAGCGATGTACACCACTGATCTCGTCATGCATTGAATCTTACATCATCAGATATCAAAATGATAATTTGGCTATGTTATTTATATGTTAATCTTGCTAACTGATGATGTTGTGAAGGAAACGCATTATATGCATTATGTTCATCGAAGTGACAAGTTCTTCAGCAATGATTACTCTATAGAATAAAATTTGTCACATAAGTTCCTAAAATTAACTAATATCAGGTGATAGAATAAATGATTCATAAAACATTATTCTGCTAAAATAATACACACACGTATCAATTGTTTCATGCAAAATAAAAGTAATTAAAAATCAGATAAAACACTTATACAATTGTAAGACAAATGTCTTTGTGGATTACTCAAAAGTAAAGAAAACTAAAATCTTAATTACGGTTATCATTGTTAGATAAAGTATAAGCTTTCAGTATCATTGAAAGTACTTATTCATAATACTAGGATGAATTTTGAAAAGGATAGTGATTATTCCATAAATTTAGTAACAATCATTTAATCTAATTTTATAATTTATACCACGAATTGATCTTTGTTCAATAATTTCAAAAACCAGGAAACAATAGACAACTGCTTTGTCTTAATATAGGACTCATCAGTAGTATGTATTCATAGCTTGGACAGTGATCAAAGTATAGACCTCAAAGTTCTCCAGGTATCGCATGACCTTTAAATCACTAAGTTGATAGTCAATAGTTTACATCCACTTAATTTAAATTCAATTTTAAGTGAATTTAAGAAAACTTTCTAAAAAAGTTATAAATAAGATATTCCATAAACTATCAGCTACTTTCAATTTTACCACTAAACATTAGTTGATATGTTAGCTTTGTAGTGAACAGAACACCAATGGGGACAACCGTATTACAGAGCATCTCACTGAAATCTGAGAACAATATCGTAAATCGTTAATTTACAAAATATCAATTCATGATCTCAAACTTGACTTTTCCTGTTGCAAACATCAGTCCATTATCTCAGATTTCATTGTTCATACGTTTTCATACCAATTGCGTTCCGTTCCCGTTCTTTCCTCATCGACCTTCTACTGAAATACATTCTATGTCTGACCACCGTTATATACTACTTGTATGGATATAAATAACCTACGCCACAGCTTAATTAAATTTATTTCTATATTTAAATACGACAATAAATTGACTTAATTATAGTATTAAAGATTCCCATTGATTGGTTTAAAATTTTCGTATAAATATTTATGTATATTAGAGTAAAACCTGATGACGATCTAATTGAAAACAATTGTTCGCTTATATGTGTTGTTTTAATTATAGTAGACTTAATTCATTTTTCTTTTACTAAAACAAAAATCACTATTTATCTTTCTATGTTATCTGTTTATGAAATAATAATAATAGTGGTGAATAATTAACTATCCAAATACAATTCAATAAGGGACTGATCCTATCAGCGTTGAATAGAAGTTTTTCAGAGACATCTAGGAAGTGATGCGTCACATATCACACTTCAATTTGGATGGTTACTAATCTTACTACTATTTTTAGTAGCGTTTCAGAAACCTTCAGAAGCTTAAGGCCGACTGAAATACTTAAAATACCCTCGATTTTCTGTACATAAACTAATCTTTGAGTAAAGGGTTCTTTTCACATCTCTCACCTATTCTCTCATATTCAAGTTGTTGTGTAGACTTAGCCTGGAGTTGTTAGAAGACTTATCAAATACGTATAAGTTATAAATGTTAGTTAGAAAGATAATTAAGCAGTCAGTCAAAAATATAATCATCCATAAAATGAATAAATTCTTTTATTTTTAATCGTTGCTTTCAAAATGACAACTAACTTTTTGGATCAGTAATTTGTTTTATTCCCGAGTCTGCATATATAATGTAGAGTGTATCCCAACAACGTAATTTACCAGACTTGTGAAGTACAAATTTACCTTTGATAACCATTTTACAAAAAAAATAAGATTGAATTCTAAGATGATATAGGAAGAGAACAAAATAAAATAGAACAGAATTCATTATTATACAATAATATTTACTTCAGATTCAAATGAACGTGTTAATTATTTTAACTGTGTTAAATTATACAAAGTCTATCTATAATTATGATTTTTCTAAATTTGGAGTAAATTTATCATCATGGACGGCAAACTATTGGGGAATCGCAAGAAATCAGTAGATAATGAATGGCCAAATGAGATAAATAGTATAGATAATAATCGATCATGACCAAACAATATCACGAACTGACTAATGTTCGAAATGCAAACCATTAAATTACAGTTTTATGACCAAATGATATGATATGTTTCGGGAACTACGTAATACACTTTTTGCAAGACCGAATCCTTATCTTGTCAGAAAATTTTATTACTACACCTCTTTAAATCATTTTTTCTAATGACAACATGTCGAAGAATAATCAATATACGTAATAGGTAGATACATCTTGTGATTTCTCTAGAGTAACATTCTCTACCACTCAACATCATTGTCAGCTCCTAGTACGCTATTGGAATTGTTCTCATTTTGAATTACTAAGTATGAAATTTACGATCGCTCTGGGTTTCAAAAGTAAGTAGTTTAATCCATAGAATGGAGAGAATCAAGTCTGGTGTTTATAAAAATAAATTCGTCGGGCTGTTCATTGGTGTTCATTTAAAGTAATTTGTACTTGTAGTTACAAAATTCAAGGCTTACGAAATAATAATACATGAGAACTTGTTGAGTTTAATTACTCTGAGGATAGCTTCTATCACAGACTTTGTTAGGTGGAGGATAGTTAAATACTATGAAACATTGAATAGTTGTTTCATTCTAGTCAAGGATTTCCCAGCAATATTCAGCTAAAACTCTATATAATAGCCTCGAATCAGTAGTCCGCAGGTCCCTCCGTTAATAAATTAACACGAAAAATTTAAATTAGACTGTGATTATCTCGTTTATTTTCAAAATTTATTCTAAATTAACTATATTTTTCCTGTCTAATAGGCTATTGTGACCATTGAATCAGACAAGAAAATGGTACATGTACAAAAACATGGCTTTACGGAAACTGTCATTACACGTGAAGTTGATGGCGACACACTGATGACAGTGAGTTCTACATTTTTTAAAATAATAATTGAATAAACTTAATATAATAATCTCACTATTTTATAAATGCAAAGTTCAGTCACTTGCAAGTTAGCTCATTCGAGCTAACTGTAGATCTGATAATTAACATCATGAATTGATATTAGTTAAACAACCATCGAGAACCAGGAAGCACCAGGCAATCACTTCGTTATAGAATAGGGCTTTCATCATTGAACGTCTTCATTCCCACCGAATATTGAGTCCCAAGAACCTCGATCTCGCGTCGAACACTTAATCTTTAGATCACTGATTTAAAATCTAAGGGTTTACATGTCGAACTTCAATCAATTATCCATATTTTACAACCAACTTCCATTGTCTCCAGGTGCTAACAGTCTGACATTGGACATAAATAAAACCTACCAGTCACAGCTTACTACCAGAATTTCACGAATTATCACTCGAAATTAGTAACTAATGGACACATAATTAACACTACAACATAAGCGGTTTGCAGAGATTGTTAAGTGGTATTAAAGTCACAGATTGACACTCTCATAGTCATCCAAGTAACACCAACCACACTTGAGTTGTATTGAAAAAAATGACATTAAAACCTTTTGATTTCGAATGTATCTAAGTAATAGAGATTCTTTTTTTAAAATGACCCTTGTAATTCTTTTTTCAAATTAACTTCGGAAAACGTATATTTTCAATAATTTTCTAGGCTGCAAATAAACTACTAATAAGTAAAACGAGTCATTTTTAAAAAATTTATTTCATCAACGTTTTCTTAAATTACATCTTCAGAACGTACATTCGCTTAATATTTATTAGATTACACAACAGATATTATTTGTTTGCAACTAGATTAAACCAATCGCATCATATGGCATGATTATCAAACTAAACAATCTATTATTGATATAAAAAGTGTATTTTATTACATGACTGTATCGGTAAATTTAATTCGTAATCACAATTAACATTTCTGATTCGTGTATAAAATTCTTCGTTAGCTGACGAACAGTCGACTGAATAAATCATGTAATTCACAAAAGAATTCTTCTAATGAATGAATGTAGATAAATCTGAGTACATCATTATAATGTATATCATTAAGGTTTCACATAAACATTTTTTTATGGAATTCACATAAGCTCAATAATTAGATCACGTATATTTTATTCATTTATCATATCTGCAGAAAGTCATATTGTGAACGCTTCATACCTAAACATTTTTCTTGAGTTGATCATGTCTGATATTACCTAATTAATTTTTTGAGCACTCATATGTAGTATATTTGTTCCAGGTTTAACTAAATGCTATAAACCATTAGATAAATAGATTCTAGAGTTTATAACGATCTACGATGAAAACCAACTTAGATATAAACTATTCTACACAAACCCTCTGGAATAAGTATAGTTTTATAAACTGAAAAGTTACATTTATCAGTTAGAAGAACAATATGTCGAAAAAGCATATTTCTATACAAATACTTACCCATTATATATCTGAACAAATATACAAGTTAGAAACTCCTTAATTTGTATGATGGAAATTTCTATCTCAAAATGGCACTAATTATAGAAGTGATGAGAACAAGAGATAAGTGGATAGCTATTTATTTCTGTTATTTGAAGTATCAATATTATGTATTCGCTAATTCACACGAGACCCAATCAACAACCTTTATACCTATACTGATTAGTTATTGAATAATGATAAATATCATGTTCATCCGATCTTAGTCCTCATTTAATTCTATCGATCAAATTCTGATGTATCCACTAGTCAAAGTAGCGTAACACGGTATGTGCTGTGTTGGGTTATTAAAGATAGTTTTTAGTAGAACCTGAACTAGAGTTTCCTAACAATCGGGACTCCTGATCACGACTTCCCAGCGATTTCGGGGGAACTGATGCATCCTGTTTGATACAAACGATAGATTGAGGGTCTCCAGTAGATCACATACCAACCAATTAACATCTTTATGTCCAACAGAGAGTATAAAACTGCTGAGTCATTAATACAGCATACGTTAAATTTCATTCAGTTTATATTATAGACCTAAACATATTTCATGAATATCATCCAATAAACAACTGTCTTGTTAAATAATTTGGCTGACTCGATGCAAGACCGTAGGTATGTAATGCTAAACATTCCTCTAAAGTAGAATGAGTTAGTTATTCAGTTTCCATGAAAAGTTCTCAGTTTTTGCTAGATTAAAAAAGTTGCTATCGAATTGAACACAATTTTCAAAAGTCAATCAACAGTAAGATACATACAAGTCAAATAGTAGTAAGTTCATTTAAAATTTGTAATTACTCATGAAGATAACAATTAATAACGTCATCTTAAAAAAGTTACAATTAATTAGATTATAATCAAAGACGGATAGTGGCTAGCAGTGGAATCCAGGACGCACATTTTGTCCTATTCGGGACTCGTCAGCTGAATGTACCTGCATCCCGGAGTTGATGTACACCCCGGGACTCGAATCCAGTACCATTCGCTTCAAACGTCGTCACGTTATCCACTTGGCTACTGAGTCCTGATATCCAACTGTTTGTATAGTGTGGTGACTCAGCGGCTAAGTGGATAACGCAATGGCGTTTGGAGCGAACAGTACTGGGTTTGAGTCTTAAAGTGTACATTAACTCTGTGATGTCGATACATCCACCTGACGAGCCCCGAATAGGACGAAACGCGCGTTATGGATTCCATTACCAGCCACCATCCATCTTTGCTTACAAAGCTTGTGACTTAAGGCAATACCAAGGCAGTCCGCACTGGATGCACATATGCCAACAACAGACTGGTCATTTACAGTACTAAATATCAATGGGAAGATTCAAGTAAACAATAAGTGAATTTAATTCATTAGATTAATTATAAAATTTAACAAACTTATAAAATAAAGAAATCAAAACGGATCGTTAGGAAACTGATTGATTACGTAATAAATCGTAAAAGTAAGTGTAAGAAGTTGAAAAGCTTTATCAATAGACTAAGTATAAACTAATATAGTTATGTAAGAATAAAGAGAGAGATGAAAAATACTACTTGGAAAAAGGAATGGAAGGTCATTTGTAGGCCAACTTAACCCCTAGATAACATCCGGAAGAAGCACTAACAGTTCAAAAGAAAACTGTTTTTATGAATATCGAATTTAAAGGAGATACGGCTGCTGGATAAATGGATTTCAAAGTCGCTGAATAAAACGTTCTACTCTGCTAAACTCCATATTTTTCCCTCAAGCCGGCCTATTATTCACGGATGTGTTGAGGATAACCTTCCGATTTGAATCACATCAATGTGCATCTATAAATTTACTTGCCCCTGTGGGGTAGGTCACATTGGCTGCACAAAACAATCACTTTCTAAACGCATCTCAGAACACTTCCCGTTATGGCTTTTAAGAGGAAAATGTAAAACAATTACTAGTTCGATACAGGACCATTTAATCAGCTATGGATGCATCGCTCTGAATGAGCTTTTTTTAAAATAACCAACACAGTCAAAAAAGTTGGATCGAGGGGAGGTCGAACCAAAATCTTATACATCGCTGAGGCATTGACAATCTACCAACTCAAGCACGAACTCTGGATGTAAAAAGTGATACGTGTAACCTCTCATCCTTCCTTGACCCTAATTCCCTTATGTAGTGTGTTTTTGTTTGCTTTTATTATTATCTTTTTTTATTATTTTAAAGTGTTTTGTAATTTGAAACCGTAATTAGTTACTATTATCCTTAAACAATTGTTCATGATTATTATTCAGTTTTTATTATTATGATCTTTTGTGTTTTTCATATCTATCAAGTGGCCAACTATCTTTCATAATTCTTACGCGTAAATCCTTTTCATTTTCCTATTCTTCTTTAACGCCTTGACTATTACGCAATCTTATTTGATAACTATAGTCTTGAATCATTTTATGATGCAATCTATTTTATCCTTATCTAGATGTATATACAACTACAAATACGAATGTATAACTTGGATGATTTCGTCGAAAAGAAAATTTCCTTCACTGAATTCCCTTTATTTTTATCTAACTTAATCTACTGAATGGAATGTTACGTAAAAGCCTCTGTTATATCCATAACTAAGATAGTAAGAGCAATTTTAGTTGAATACAAAGAGTCAGTAGGTTATGATATATACAGTTTATCTGTAAGTCATAAAGTAAACTGGATGTTATGAGATAAATTACTCTAAATACTCAATTTAATACCAAAGAATAAAGTATTGACCTTAACCATGATGAATGATGCTCGAAAATACAATAACAGTAATCAAGTGTACAATCGATGTAACTAGATTCACATGAGAAGTTAAGCTGGTAATTTACAAATATAAAAAGTGATTTTGAATAGCCTGTAAAATCCAACGATTGTAGATTAAAGAGTACGATCTGATAACACTAAATATTATCATGACTAAACAGATAACTTTACCCCCAAATTGTAATTTCAAGAGTATTTCCTTAGCAAATATTGTTATAGTGTAAATTCCCATTTTGACATTTGGTAAATAAAGAAGGAACGAATCGAGCAAAGAAATTTCTTTTCAATCAAGTTCTTTTACAACTTTCTGCAGACATACTAGCATTTCCAGTGAGCTAATATTTGTACATCAAAGATATAACAAAATATTCCCATACCAAATGAATAAATAATAGGATTTCTCGTTTGACAAATGAAATTATTTCATTTTAACATTTTACATTCTAAAGTCTGATCTAAAAATTATCAAAATAACATGGAGTTACTGCTTCACAAGAATATTGAGATCAATATAAATAATTATGTACGTTACAATTTGAAATATCCTCGTTCGGAAGTACAGCGAATTACATGAAAAAGAAATTTGTGTAAATTTATGTATAGCACTGAGTCATGGCTCAAAAAGCCTTCAAATATATTCGTCATATTTTCAGCATGCAATAATACAGACTAAAGAATTACTAGAAGTCAAGAAGTATTTGACAGTTGTTGTGTCTTGATTTATGGCTCCACAGAGATGAGCATTCATGACTTCATGTGAGATGGAATCCAATACCTTCAGATCTCTCAGAGAGCACAATGGTCTATATTTCCAACTTCAGTTCAGGATACAATGTGACAACCATCTGCTGACATCGGTGATAGTCTTCCCACTACATATATGACTGAACTTTACTAGTCATAACTTCTCACTAGAACTGCGGGAATTTATTTCTGTATTATTAAACAAGAACCATGTACTAACTGAGAATTAATCATAGTAAAAATAAAATTGACATTTCTTCTTTCCTAAGTTTTTTAAATTCAGTGCAAGCCTAATCGATAGAATTAATCCTATCCTGATGGCTAGTCAAGATGAACATGATTTCTACTAACATAACGCTTAATTTAAACACTCTATTCCTGACAGGCATCGATGTCAAAAAAGTTATGGATAACGTCGATGACTGGGATTCAGAATAGCTCAGATTCTTATTTTCCATCAAACACTAACTCCCTGAGTATAGTTAATATTGCCTTACTGATAAATAATAAGTATTAAAACACTTAGGTCTAGAACTTAGCAGTAGTTGCTTTTGACTGCCTAACATCAAATCATCAACATTCCGAGTTCACTAGATATATAAATTCGGTTTGATCGGTCATTCTTATCAACAACTTTATGAACAGTTGGTTCACTAATATTGTACAAAATTTCCAGCTACAACGTTGTAAGTAATCGCACATATATTATCATTAGACGTCATTCAGAACTAAAGACTACAATAACAAACTATATTCATGTGATATATATTTATATAATCTCCTGATTACTGATTGTTGTTTCATTTTTCAATTTTTTAGACAATAAAATCTCAGCAGCATGTAGCAACTATCAAGTATCAACGTGTTTGACGTGATCATTGGTAAATGTTTCATTGTTTAGTACTTTAAATAAATGATGTTTAAATAAATAAACATATGATGTTACACTACAGTTTACTTATATAGTACTTTATTGGTTACAATGAAATTGTTAATTTATACCCTACAATAACTACCCAATGAATATAACTTTGATAATAGAATCGTAATTTTCTAATTAAAAGTAAAATAAAATCAATTCATGAAATATTATATTGATTTGCATTGATTTTCAATATGTTTGATTATGTTTGTAAAGATGTGATATTGTAGTAAGCGGAAACATAAGTAGAGAATACAGAAACCCATAGTAAAATCTGAGAACCATACAGTAAATGCTTCATTTGTAAGATGTCTATCAATTGTCTCAGACTTTATTGTTCCTTCATTTTTATACCAATCACTCTCTGTTCTCATTCTCTTTTCTTTGATCTCAACCTTCTATTGCCAAGCATCCCACTGTCGATTGGTGATACATATTATTTATATCTATCGACATCATTGGCACACACCACAATATAAATGTGACTTTACAACGTATTTATAAATATTGTCAATGTTTAGGATTAAAGTGTACACTAACTGATTACGGGATGGTAATCAACGTTGTATTTATCTAGTCTTTTGTATTGATCAAAATATACTATTACAACTCAATAAGGAATTAGTGTACATATCTTTGTCCTACAAGAGGTCAGTTACCACTCTAATGGTTCACACCTTTCTGGTGAAAGTCTTCAACCAACTAATATTAATGGAGTTGTTATAAAAGAAAGTAACGGTTCTTTAAATTAATTCTCAACAAAAGACTTATTTACCTGTATTTAACTCAAAAGAGGAAAGTTTTTCGAAAGACCATGTATAGTATTCAATAAATTAGTTATAATTACTAGTTGTAGTAAGTAAATCGTACAAAACCCTAAAAATGAGTCCGTGTAATGAGTTACTGATTATCCAATGACAAATACTATTCAGTCAAACTTAACCACAATCTAACTATGAGTCGTTGTAAAGTTATATAAAGCATAATATTGAAAAATATTATTTTTTGATCCTTTTTTTGGTGTAAGCAACATCCCCAAGTTGCCCTATTATTCGTCAGTTTCGTTGAGTAACATCTATCTAGTGACAGTAACATCAACAAGGCTGCAAACGATTGATATTACAGAAAGTAATTGATTATTTATTAAATCAGAATAAATTGCTAGATAATTTTACGTTTAGCATCATAGATTGATCTAAATTTAATAACCATCGGAAACCAGAAAGTACTAGGTAAATACCTCGTTATAGTATAACACTCATGGCCTCATCGCGACATATGAACCCTTGAATTCTAGATCAGTGATATAAAGATTAAGCGTTCGTCACGAAACTGGAGGTTCAGGACTTGATCCTCGGTGGTGCTACGAATCCTCACCATACTAAAATTTAAAAAGCATTATGGTGCTTCCTGGTTTTCGATGGTTGTGTAACAAGATCAGTCCATGATGCTAACTATCAAATAAAACAATCCCCATTATTCCACTACAGTAATAACAGATAATTATTCTGCTTTTCGAAACTTCAAGTTCGTAAACCAATCCATGGTTATCCACCTAACTTAACAAAACCTTGAAAACGTAATTCTGAAAATACCTAGTACATACAGACATGCATTTCAAAATGAGTGGAATTCAGTCAGTTAAAGTTAATTGAGGTATTTATAAACAAAACAGTAAGAATAATTGTTTCAGTGAAGAATCTCCTTCACTTGTTAAACAAGATAATAAGAGGTTAATCTTATTCATGTAAATCTTGGTGTTAAAATATTTAGTACACATCGAGAATATCATAAACGTCACAAAAACAGTAACAACTGTGAAAAAGCTCTATAATACGATAAAACGAAATGTTAAAGTTAAAATGAAATTTATCCACAGAACGCATAATAACTTAACAAGCCGAAGGAGAAAAAATGTCTTTAATAAAGCCGAGGTGAAGGGTAATACTTTTGAAGTACCAGAGGTTAAAAAAATGACAGAAGATAATCTTAGATTTGAATGACACTTTCCATAAATTCAAGCAATCAAAAAAAGAGTGGAAAATGATTAACATCTCTTAGACAACTTTATTTAAACTTAAACACTGAAACGGAAATAAATCTGCTTTAAAGCTTTCCGACGATGAAGAGACAAAAACTATAACAGAAACCGATTATTTATAATAATCTATCTTAGCTACTTACTCATTCTCAGTAGACCGAATGATTCCTGTAAAGTAAATAAAGTGTAAAAAGATTTTATCAAATTGTAGGTGACATCACGGACCAAAATCAGTCAGAAAACTATATAAGTCCGAAGTGCATGACATTTAGGTAATAATACTTCCCGACTTATCCGGAGATTTATTCTAACGATGATCCAACTTAGCACATTAACGTCACGAGTGTACTAAACTATTCCTTATCATATGGAAGATGATCTATTATTTGCCACAGTCAATCTTTCGTGATGACGACTCATGGATCTGGAGTATTTTGAATATGCTTCTTTGTTATAATGGTTGTACACCTAAAATATTTTAAATTATTTATTTTCTAATTGTAAAATATTTGTACGGTTGAAAGTCGATTATTCGTGATAGTGTCTCACAAACGGATCTGGAATTTCTTGAGTAGACAAATATTGATAAATACATGTACTATGTTTATGATGGTTGTAGTAGTTCTCCAAGTTTCAGCTCAGTACAATAAAATTATCTTGACACTTGTATTAAAAATTCCGGCATTTGTGTTGTGTGACAGTTGTTTCGATGTTCACATATTCTTCACTTTCCTTACCAATTCTCCTCTACATAACTGTATCAAATCCACCTTATTTATCAGTGATACTGACAACTTATGTAAGTGCTCACATCTCTTCCACAGCATGACCATCAAACACAATTCGCTTGGTACTTACTGTACTGTATTTCAGCATCTCACTTCTTCTCTTATGAATGTCCATGCATACTGACATAGAAGCCACTGCTGCACTCCATCGCTTCAGATACATTTGTTTCTGTGTATGTGATATAAGTGCCGAGTCATTTACAAAGAGACCATCCAGCTGCATTCAATCTATCCAATACTTTGTGTGCATCTACTCACATGTCGGAGTCTTCATAACCCATCCGACGATCAGAACAAAGAGAAAAGTTGGCAGTAGACAGTCTTGCCTCACACCGATCTTCACTTTGAATGGATTTGTGAGCTGCATGAATTCTCACTGTAATCAATTGTGAGAATGCAATATCATGGTGACGACACTCTCAGACACTCCACAATGTCGAACAACAGTCCACAAACTCCTACCATCCACCCTAATAAACACTTTCTTATAGTCAACAATGTTCACATAGAGTGATGAGCGTGCTTCAAATGATGGTTATTCAACAATGATATTATGTGTCGTGATTTGATCAGAACATGATCGATCTTCATGAATTCCAGTTTGTTGTTCCAGAATTGGGAGTCTACTGAATCTATCATAATATTCAACAACATTGTCTGAATTCTTTCAACACCTTGACAGTTGTATGCTTTCTCTGTAGTTCACAAACCTAATTAAATCGCTTTCTTCGGTAGCCTGATAAAGTGTCCTTATTTCCACTCTCTCAACACTTGTCATTCACACCAAATCATTCTGAATACGATATGGAGTATATTTACAGTTTCCTCTATGTCTGATTCCAATGCTGCAGTGATTCAGTGCTGCTATGTTGTCTCACACTACTGATACTCCACCAATATTCACTTCACTTCTGGTCATTCTGTCTTCTTCAATTGTTGGGTAGAGTGATATCTGTAGGAACGTCTGTGTGTACTGCCTCGATATCAAGCAATTTCACCAACCGTAGTCCATTCAACAATTCGTCTAGTTGTTTTACACACCTGTTGCACTCTGATACATCCCACATCACTGATTCGCTCTCCTCACAACTTATCATAACAAGTTACTCTGGTCTACTGGACTTTCCTGAGAGATTGTTGTTTAAAACACATGGTTCCTACTCACTTCTTGCAGTTCCAAATTGTTCCACCACAGTTGTCAGATATTCCATACATTTCCATTTGTCAACTCTAATACTTCTCTCCACTCAGTCATTTACTTCTTGCTATTCAATCTGTGCTTCAGATTTCTCTACTCTGCTCTTATTCCACTGTTATTCACAACTGTCTTCCTATTCTCCATTCATTGAATCCTAAACAGGTGATCTACAGAGATCAGACCTATATTCTGATGGGGCATCTCGTGACCCAATGACTCCTGATATGTCGGAATTATTGCTGATTTATTCCCTTCCAACTTGTTCACCATAGAGATTTCCTCCTCCTCCTCCTCCTCCTCCTCCTCCTCCTCCTCCTCCTCTTCTTCTTCTTCTTCTTCTTATTCTTATTCTTCCCTAAGTTGGTTCTAACCAGTGTTATCCACTCCGATCTCGGAGTTCAATTCTCCTAACAGAGTATTCAGGTCGTTTCGTGGACATTTGTTGAAGATCGACTACAGCCTCTCACATAACTGATCATTCCCATCCTCATTGTGATCATTGATGGGCATATTGCACTGAATCATATTCATTGTAATCCTTCTCTTCTTCATTTCGATGAATGTTTCTGTGATCCTACAACCATGAGATTTCCATCCTATAAGTGTTTTCACGTTTTGGTGGAGAGAATCAGTGTAATTCGTCGTGCGTGTGTATGTATGTGTGAGGCATCTTTTTCTTCTTCTTCTTCTTCTTCTTCTTCTTCTTCGCGAATAGAATACAACAGAAACTCTCCTGAATTTAGTATTTTCTGTTCAGATGACATTCAATGAATTTTACTTATTGCAAGCACTATAAGTTAGTATCTTCTCATTTCTGTGATTAATTGAGTGATCCTGCCAGTCTCACTCATGCGTGTGGACATTCCATGTACCTATATTAGTTGTTGGTCTGTTTAGAGAGAGAGAGAGAGAGGTTATTGTTGTGGTGACTACTGTAGAATCTCGAATTTCATTATGAGGCATCACAACTCTTCTATTTGAACGCCTTTCAAATCGGGGGACTGAGTTTAAATGGATTCATTTATTTACTGTGGTTAGTGTTTGTTTTAGAGGTCTCCTTCTATGGTGCGTGGTAGCTAATTCTAACCTTACCCTTTTCTTTTTTACTGAAGTTTGGAACTGGCAGTAACTGTTT